CGATATTTAGCTTGGCTACAGCACGAGTCACAACCTCCACGAGCTCCTCATACGCGAGGGACTGTGGTGGTGAGTCCACAGTCTCCTCTGTCTCGATACTCATCACATCCACCTCCTCGGAGGAAGATAGATGAAGTGTCTGGCTCGCTCTCCGGGGGGAAGAAACCGCAGCGCGGGCTTCCGAACAGTGAGAGAGAGCCACGGATCTAGCAGGTGAGGACCGAGAAAAGGACGAGCCCGTCTCGGATCCCTCCGCTAAATCCACTTGCGATCCCCACGACAACAGTCTGCACTGTGCCTCGGTAACAGCGGGACCGCTGCCCGCGGGATCGCGAGCCTGGCCGCTCTCATCAAACATGGCCAGGCGAGAGCGGAGCGTGTGCAGCGAGAGCAACTCGCAGTCATGACAATCAGCTCCATCGAGAGCTGACCATGCATGCTCCGCTCCCAAACAAACAACACACAGATCGTGTGGATGCGCTTTTATACTTCCTGGTTGCTCACGTCACCCCGCTCATGACGTCTCACTGCTCCATTGTACTGATTTTACACGTGCTTCAGAATGTGGTCACGCCTGGCGTTTCTCGACGCAGCTCAAGTTCCTGAAAGGGAACCATGGTTACATGCATAACCCGAGACATTTTCTCTTTTAAGATTTGATTTAAAAAAACTGCTTTTTTTGTTATCTTAACTATGCACAACTAAACCGTTATTTACATTTGTGCAGCGAGAGCAACTCGCAGTCATGACAATCAGCTCCCTCGAGAGCTGACCATGCATGCTCCGCTCCTAAACAAACGACACACAAATCGTGTGTATCCCCCGCCGCCAGATATCGTGGGCAGGGAGGAACACAACGTTTGTAATGCCATTCGCTCGCCATAGACTTAGACTTTGCTTTCTTAGACATGATATGAAATGCTTGTGCTGACAGACAACAATAAATAGACAGACACATACACAGAGCGCTACTGAAGAGCAGAAGCTGACTTGTGCTCTGCCGGATGCGCTTTTATACTTTCTGGTGCTTACGTCACCCTGCTCGTGACGTCTCGCTGCTCCATTGGGCTGATTTGACACGTGCTTCAGAACGCGGTCATGCAGGGACGTTCCCAAAGCGAATATCGACGCAGCTCGAGTTCCTGAAGGGGAAATGCAGAAATCTGCCTGATCATAACCTTCTGGTCCATTATGTTGCATCACAGCAGCAAAAGGGGTTGTAAAACTAATATTAGCAAGAAATATATGAGAGAAACAAGCAGTTATGATATTAATTTCAGCTTTATGTTACTGTAATAAGTAAAGGCAAAGAAAGTGAGTTCACAGCAAGCCTTTAAGGCGAGACACTACACAAAAAAAATAAATAATTTTTTTTTTCCTTCTCTTTTTTTTTTCATGCACTGGTTAATTTTGCTTCCATAACTTTTCTTCTTGCAGACTATGGGATAAGAAATACAATGTAAGTGTTTTTTTTATTGCATTTGCATCTGTAATTTTACTTACAATATCTGCTTGCTCAAATATAAAACTTCACAGGTTTATTCCTATCTTCATATATTGTGAAGATTTTTACTGAGGGGTTTGTTCATATATCATTCACACTGAACATTTTATTCCTAAAAAAACATGGTGAAAATGTACTTTTTTCTGTCTGTTTTTCAGTATTTTCCGATTTATGGAATGATAAAAAAAGGAACCCAAAATCCCTTCTGTAAAAACCATCAATATGTCAATAAAAACACAATGTTGTGCTTTATTAGGCAATACCGCATTTGCATATTTAAACATACCATTTCAGAAAACTTGTAATCCAAAACATTTGTCTGTGTAATCATGTCTTTCAGTTAAAAGTTTTGCCATTTTTAACTGTGGTGTCTTGCCTTAAATCCTAAAAGATTGTTATAGTTTAATATCTGTCGATGGACAGAAGTGCACAAGAAAGGATATGACAAAGTATGAACCAGTATTTATTCTCAGTTTCAAATCTACTCACTGCAGGTTTTCTTGGTTTCATGCAAACCGTACAGTGTACATGACTGTTGTGCACAGTTGTGCTGCTGCACTGAATTGCCATATTTTCTTTCAAGTACCTTGTTGACACACTAACACGGGGCTGTCCAAACTCGGTCCTGGAGAGTTTAGCTCCAACTCCAATTAAACACACCTGAACCAGCTAATCAAGCGCTTACTAGGCATAGAAACTTCCAGTCAGGTGTGTTTAATTAGGGTTGGAGCTAAACTCTGCAGGACACCGGCCCTCCAGGACCGAGTTTGGACAGCCCTGCACTAACATATGCTTTACAAATAGTCATGAAACAATGCAGAAAAAAGGGGTATGTTAAAGAAACATATTGCACATGCAAAATCAATTCAAGCTTAAACAATTAACCTTTATGCGTTTCATCCTGAGTTATTTATTCATTTATTTTTCTTAGCCGTCATGTCCATTATGTCTTTGTTCCCAAAGGGCAATTGATGTTGAAAAGACATCAAATTGACATAGAAAAAACCCAGGTCAAATAGGCAAATGAAACTGACATCAAACACTTGGCATGATTTGATGTAAATTGAACACCAAACATATTGGCCTACATATATAGTAAACCAGTTTCAGTGTGTGATTAACTTCCTATTTTCACCCAATTACCACTGGAAGAAATTGTCGTCCAAACTGAATTTAAAATGATGTTACAGCATCTTGACTAATATATCTTGACTAATATATGACGTCAAACTGATATCTATGTACCCGCTGGGTTATCATGTTACTTTAATATATCATCATCAGTGTTGTTGGTAACGCATTACAAGTAGCGCAAGTTACATAATCGGATTACTTTTTTTCAATAAAGCAATGCATTACTTTTAAATTTACAACAAAATATCTGAGATTCTTTATCAAATATGTTACGCAAGTTACTTTGTTTCCCAATTCATTCACTGACAGCTCTCCTGTCCCAATGTTGAGAGAAATTGGGAGTAAGTGCAGAGGCGCTTTCTTCAGGCAGAGGCATAGTAATTTTATTTTTGGTATGAAATGGATTTTACAGTTGCCAAAAATATAACTTTGAGGTTTTTTGTTGCAAAAAAAGAAAAGCAATCCAATTTTGAAATCAAAAATGAAAATTAGCCCACAAGCTACTCACCCTCAAGTCATCCTAGGTGTATATGACTTACTTCTTTCAGACGAATCCAGTCGGAGTTATATTAAAAATTGTCTTTGATCTTTCAAGCTGTTTAATGCCACTCAGCAGGTGTTGCATGCATCAGTCCAAAATAAGTTAAATAAAAATCGCCCATCCATAAAAAAAAAAAAAATGTCTCACACGGCTCCGGGGGGTGAACAAAGGCCTCCTGTAGCGAATAGATGCATTTTTGTAAGAAAAATATCCATATTCAAAACGTAGTAATCACTTTAATGTAGCTTGCGCCAACCGTCCTGCACGGAAGCAGTTCCGGGCGGTTGACGTATGAGGTCGGCTTTGTGCATGTGCCGGTCAGAAGTGACGAACACGGAAGCGCAGCGGAGAGATCAAAACAAAACACCAGTCACTTATTAGAAGTACAGAACTAGGACAAGGCAGGGAGAACAGAAACACAGAACATACACGTGACACACAGTCCTTCCTTACAGTCATTTGAGCACAGAAACACTATATGATACACTATTTTTACTATCTAGGCCTCAATGAGTCCACAGGCCTGTAGAACTTTAGAAACAGCTGGTATAAGATCATTGGCGTAGTCCCAGAGATGATCATCTCT